ACTTTACATCATAATGCTTTCAACTTCGATTAGTGCGAAACGATATTCGTATAAAATATAAATCGATATTACAATAATTCGATGATCACACAAGCGCATTGCAATTTTACATTAACTGAAAAATCAGCTCGTTACGTTCAAACTCTTTTGCTTCAGAATTAACCAACCATTGATTAATGGTGTAACTAAAATTACCGTGTTATAAAGTACCTGTATGTGAATGTTCCTAATCAGGTTAATCCTCATTTTCTTTTACTATGACCCTAGTAAAATCGAATAACATAATATTATTAATATCTAAGCGGTTGTACAGACGTATATAATATAGTCGTCGCCACGGGTTTTAGACGAAACAAACATTCAGGTTTATTTCACGTTTCCAATCATTGTAAAGTTTTTCAAAAAGATTTTCGTGTATTGGTTAGAATAATTTTATTGGCAAAAAATTCCAAAACTTTGCTCTAAATTTCGTAACTCTGGCTCTGACGTCTACAAAGCTTAATATATGACATAACACGCACGATATTGAATAATATATCGGTAACGATTAACTGTACCTTTGATACGAAACGACAATAATAATACACTATGGGACGAATTATAGGGAAATATTAAAATTGTTTTGGGAGTGGTTTCAACTAGAAACCCTATTTCACCCGGCACCCGTACGATATTTGGGACTTAGTCTATTAAATGCAGAACATTCAAAATACATGAATAGTTTGTTACCGATCCTTCTGTATAGTCAATTTCATCATACGCTTACCTATTGTGAATATTGTATTGAATGCGGTTTAAATTAATACAATATTGTCAGTATTATATTACGATGTACAATATATATCATAATTATTTGTCTTTTCCTCGCGTAAATTATTACACATGAGCTGTAAAATATAATATGTCAAAACTGTAAAATAGCAACTCAATAACAACTTTCACCCATAATATATAATTCCACAAAAACTATAAGAATAAATATCAGATATTATACGATTATTGTTAGATCCATTATACTTGATGCTTGTGTAATGTATCTCATAGTCATCCACCAAACACGGAAACAAACTGATCATTTTCGAAAGAAATTTTTGCGTAAAAGAAAATTGTCCGAAGACAAGTGAAAGTAACTGCGAAATAATATCAAATAGATGTCTGCATGTTTTGATAAACGGTTCTAATAATATGTAGTGGGTACACTCATGCGTTAAATGCGCTGCATTGTAGTCGAGTTATTTATCAATCGGCAAAACATTGAATTTGAAATATTCGACAAAAGATTCTTTATAAATGCACATATATTTGTGAAAAATATCAAAGAATTATAGTTTTTTTTTTATGGTTAAAATTTAACATCATTCTTTGTTTTACTGTTTGTTTCTGTCCGCTCTTGTATTACTTCTGCATGAATCCTCTACAAAATTCCCGTTGCATTTGAAACTTAGCAATCACAACTGTGTATCTTAGGATACTAATATGCCTATTGTATTTACACATATTCTTAAATATATGAGTTATAATAAACTCAAAAATATTAGATTGGTCAAATGTGTGTTAATTCAATAAGTACCCCAAGATGAACAGTTGTACCAAATGTCAGAACGATCTGTGGACATTTCTCCTTGCACGGAACCAATAATCTGTTGCAGAATGTCAATGTTCTTTTTCCGGTTGCACAACCTTCGTCGTGAGGAGGAAATAAAAAAACGCCGGAAACAAGGCATGAGACACAGGCATCAGCTGACACTGGCGCCAAGCCGGTTGTTTGAAAAACCACCGCTCACGCCGTCGGATAGCTTGGACGCGGTTGCCTTACAAATACCCAGGTAAGAAATCCATATATGCTATAATATAGTAATAGTTAAACACTTATTTACCGTGGTCTTGAAATATTCACACAATATTTAATGAATTATACATAACGGTAATCTTTTCGGAATTGTTGAAAATAAAACGAAAATGTATCGGCATTAGAATACCCAAATTCGTTTTCGAATAAAATTAAAATATCACAAGTATTATTTATATTATGGACCTATAACATTTAAATTTTGGATATTCAGAATTGTTCTGTAACTGTATTTAAATTTAAAATCTTTAACGTAAAATGGTCAGTTGATATTAAACAGTGTTCTAAATGATAAATCATAAAATAGGAAAACCAATTCCGGTGGAACGCGGATTAATATACTAAGGCATAAATTAAAGTATCTTTATTATACATAAGTAATTTTGCAAATTTTATGCGCCCATTAAAAAAACATAAATAAATACAATTGATTTATGATTTTTAAAGTTTTTTTTAATATAACTAAATTGCTATAAATGCTTATCTTGTGAAACTCGCATTAACTCACTCCAGGCATGAAGGTTCAACAATATTTATTAAAATAAAATACACATAATTCAGCACCACGAAATTAATATATATTTATGTAATTCGGACGTTCGAGTTACGATAGTAATTTTTTAAAAGAGCAATTTAACGAAACGATATATTATACATTATAATTATTTTAACGATTTCAAATAATTTATAAATAATTATACTGTACAATCTATATTTTATTGACATAGTAATAATCAACATGAAAACGATTGATGTAGGTTTCTTAAAAATAACCAGTAATCCATCAGCGTCGCTGCTATTGTTCAGTATATTATTCTCCATGTGTTCTCATTTTTAATTGATAAATTAAGAAATAGGTATATGCAGTTTTCACAACACGTTTCCCGTATTAAAACGATGGCGTGTACTTGAGTAACTTAAGAAACTTAAAAATAAATAGCTTTCTAATGTCGTCTACTAGACAACTAAAACATTATTGATAAGGTTCAGTAGTTTAGTGATACGATGGATAAAAACAATATGTTTATTTATACATATATTATAGGTATATAAAATCCATGAGTATAGAAAGAATGAAAATATTATTCGATGTTTGTATTTGGCATGCACACAGAATAAGGATTTTGGGTTGAACTATTTTTATTCTACCAAAACACGTACGAACCTAAATGTTCATAGGTAGGTACTAATACAATTTGATTCTTAGTCTCCGATATTTATTTATATGAATGTATTTTTGTATTTCATAAAATACATTTTATTATACGGTTCATGAAAAAACAAAATAAAAACCCGAACACGAGTTTAGATTCCGGTCGTAGGTCATATCGTGGAGATTGTATATTGGTAAATAGGTTTTTTCGGTCTTGTGGGAATTGAGTCACGAGATGAGTTAAAAAGAATTTTAATCTATAAGAAATAACTTATACAATCGCTTTGAAAAAAAAAAAAAATCAATATTTTATTGCAGGAACCATATAATATCGTGCAATGTGATTGCAGAAAATTCAATCGTCATTGTGCGTTCTACCTAGGTGGCTGGGTCTATTTCCATACCTATTACCTATATTATACCTATACCCAGTGGTGTCTCGAATTATTTTTATCTTGAATCACCGATTTAATTTTCCACCCACTCACCTTTTCTGAACATCCAGACACTCATGACCCACACCCATCCACTATTTTTTCGTGACTGTATATTCTATTTTCCTATATTCTATATTCTATACGCCTATGTGCTATTTCAAATACATGCTTGAATTTATTCACGAGTCCAGTGTGTTGTACACCGTTTATCATACATAGTATACTTCAAATATACAACTTCTTTGATTTTTTTTTGAAGAGAATGACCTCTGTATAATAACCATATGTCATATGCCAACGATCGAGTTGAGCATATTGTTCAACATCCACAATTGTCGTATATTCGATCTGGTGCACAAAATTGCGATGTTAATCACAAAGTACACATACGTGCGTATGCTCATGTGTAGTTACGGCTTTTAGTTACATACATAATAAATTATACATATATATATATATATATATATATATATATAGGTATATATTATATTTTTTTTAAACGACATTTTTCAAAACAGTTTTTGAATCAAAAACAAAAAAAGACAAATTTGTCATTTTTAGCATATCACTAGCATTTCGCCACTATATTTTTCCATTTTGCACATGCATATGCAGCTGCATGTCAAATCTGTAGTTCTGGCATGTATAGGTTGGAATAACTACTCATAACCGGTATCAAATTTCGTTATTTATTTTGTACAAAGTTATAATCGCGATCCGTACATTTGAAGTCTAATTGTACTATAATATAGTAATGGAAAAGAAAGCATTCATTTTGGGAGAACTAGACATCAGTTTTTAAACATTGAACGTAAATTTAGTTTTTATTTTTACATGAACTTTAACGTTTTTTGTTCATTTATTGACAAATTAATATTTCCATAAATTGTAGTTATATTTATTACTAATATTTTACAAATACAAATTTCAAACATTATGTATTTTAATTACTACTACGAATACTACAAATAGACAAATTTAATGATAAACATATAAATCAAGATTTAAAATGTAAAATGATAAATAACAAATATTGAGATAACTCATATATAGAAAAATAGAAAAATACGTCGTGTAAGGAACGATAAACCATTGCCAAGGATAAAACGATTCTGAGCGGAGTTCAGTTGATAGTGATACTTTGTCAACAATATATATATATATATGGCATATAATGTTAAAAAAAAAAACTCTTCGTAGTAAAATTAATAGATTCCTTGTTTCTCCTCAGAATGTAAAAAAACGTACAATTTATTGATTTATTTAATCCATATCGCATACAAATTAATAATGATAATACGATGTTTGTAGTTATTAACAGTTAATAATTAAATAATGTCAATGTTTTTTTATTCACGTCGTTATAATCATACTTAGTTTTTCCTTACTTGACTTAAGTTGAATATAAAAATAAAATTATACAAAGCCACGGCCTAAGAGAGGGGAGGCGTTCACCTATCAACTCCCTCCCTCTATCAAACCGTTACTGTCTAATATGACGTATAATAATATTATTTCATCAATATTTACTCACTTTAAAAAGTTACGGCACTTAAATATTTAATGCGTTTATATCGACAATTATTAATCTCGACTGTCAGGTTAATCCGTTCCACGAAACACGTGGCCTCATTTTCAAAGTCTACGTTTCTTTTCCAAGCTCTCTGCCATATCTCATTTTCATTCTCACCGAAAACCGAACCAATCGAGATTTGAATGGCACACTGTCACTTGTTAATAAACCATCCACATCACATGTGCTTTGACACATCGAAATAATATCATGATAATAATAATTTTATTGAACCACTAAGAATATCGAAATCATTGACATTAGCCAGAGAACTAATACCATAATAATGTATTATGTCCGAAAAATCGATTGTAAAGTTTAATACAAATTTACGAGTTTTTTACGTACCAAAGAGTTTAAACTTAAAAACGTAAATACGCGTCTTATAAATAGCATGCTTTCCAATATGATAATTTCAACTAATTTGAAAATGAAATACCTGCACACTCTCTAAAGCCTATCAATGCTAGGACTTGTAGGGTATTCAAATTGTTCAAGTGAATGTTAACCTGCCATTTTAAGATGTATTAGCTACGACGTGGTTTATGAATAGAAGAAAATCAACAATATTATGAAATTCAATTTGCCGTTATTGTACACACTTCTGTAATAATTCGCACTTAACACACAACACCATAATTAGTTTTCATTCAATGCAGGTATAAGAATGCTACACATCGAATTAAGGCTGTCGTATGTTTTGACTAGTGTGAATAGTTGGGGATAATTAAAAATGTAATATTACCGCAAAGTAAAATATATTCTTGTTACATTCATAATTTGCTAAAAATTATTACAATAAAGAAATGATCCAATTTCAAATCATAAAAATTGACGTAACCATGTACCGAATGCATTTTTTTTATAATTACACTTTCTTCTGTGTAAAAACTGAAGGAATAGTTTTATGTTTTATTTTAACTCAAACTATCAACAAAAAAATAGCCAGTGCTTAGTGCTTGAGCACTAAGAAGTCTATTAGTTCTGTAGTAACTACAAGTTTATACGTTAAAAGCAAATGTAAATTGTTGCAAACAAAAAGCGACACTGAGTAGAGCTCATTAACAGCATGTTGCTTATAACTAGTTCTACTAATTAAAGTAGTTTGTTTTTGCCTAACCAAAGAAAACCAGACATAGGCAAAAAAAAAAATTAACAACAAAAAAACATTCTAGGATGATGGAGATAGGTGCAGCCATTGTTATTTGCTAACGAAAAAACGATTCTGAGCGCAGTTCAGTTGATAGTGATGCTATGTTAACAATAAATATGTCATATTATTGTAAAACACCTAATTAAATAGGCATTATGTATTTATTTTCATTTGTTTAATTTTTTACCGATTATTACGGTTTTCTCAGTTTTCCAATGTTTTTTTCCCGTTTTTTCACATTTTCTTGAAAAAATTCTTGTGGAAATCGAAAAAAAAACTTCCCTATAGTACCTCCCTAGTCAGATTTCTTTTTAGAAAAAGTGCTATAATTGTATATAAGAGTAAAATTGCTGGTAGAAAAGTTGTTGATATAAAAAATATCGTTCATATTTTTTTTACTAATACCTACCATTTAGTACTTTTTTCCGTTTTTTCGACATTTTTCCCCGGTTTTTCCCAGATATTATGAAAGCCGCTAGAAAAATCATAATTAACATGCAGATAAAATTTTCTTTCAGAAAATAAGCTACAATTTATACATCAAAACAAGATTTCTGGTAGAAAAGTTTGCATAACAAATCGAGGAATATTTTGCGATTAAAATAATCCGAGAGATCGATCCCTTTTTAGGTAAAAGAGAAAAAAGGAATACAAAAATTATTCTTTCTCGAAACACATGGTATGAACTCACGAACCCTTGGATGAAACGAGATATGTATAATCACTCGGCTACGACAAAAATGCTATAGAGATGACAAATATTTAGTTATTTAAAATAAAATATAATATCCGCATAATATCAGAAATTCAAAAAGCTTTAATTTTAGTCAGTCCGCTCAATTCACCACCGTTCTGAAATTGGCTTAAGACATATGTTCAAAAAAAAAAAAAAAAAAAATGGAAAAATTAGATTTGTTCCATATAATTTTGTATTCAAACGATTTTCGTCAAACTATGATATTAAAATTCTTTTATATATATATAAAAAAAAAAAAAAAATACATTAAACTCAATTTATTTATGTTTTTGACTACAAAGTAAGATTCTTAATGAACCTTCCGTTAAATTTCCAAGCATTTCTGATAAGTCTAATAATTTTACCACGAAGTATCTACCGAATAAAAATTACGTACAAAACTTGCAAAATTTAAATGTCTATAAATAGCTCAATAATGGCTTAAATTTTTTGAAAATTTGACCACTACCGGAAAAGACAAATATAACTTTACTGTCCGGATTTCAAGTCTCTACGAATTTTTTTTTATTGAATTACAACAAATAACAAAATTGAAAAATAATAAAAGCATTATTTTCGTACATTTCCCGTTTTTCTTACGTTTTATCTTGGTTTTTCTCAGATATTATGTAAACCGCTTAGAAAATCAAAAAACGATCTCCTAAAAGTACCACCTGGACAAGATTCCCTTTCAGAAATAATGCCACATGTAAATATCTGAACAAGACATCTGGTAGAATTACACAGTATAAAAAACAAATTAAAAAAAAATAATAACCATCCTAGTAAAACCAATATATTTTTCGCCACACTCAGAATCTAAAATATTCTAAATATTTATATTTCAAGGTCGGGAAAGCATTTTATCACTGTCATAATTTGCTGTCAGCTTTTCCGTATAGTAAGAAAATAAAAGTATTTCCCGGATGCACCAACTTTAGACCAACAATATTACAAGTAAACACCTCGCTTCTTATAACCTATCGTTATTTTTTATTTTTTTAAAACCACGAATTTTAGCCAAAATCGCGTTAACAGACAACCCACACATTATAGTAAAACAATAATGCCGTACTTCTGGATTCACTCAGAAGCTGAAAAAAATTATTCGAATATTAATTTTGGTTAACATTGTTAGCAGTTTGTGCGAATAATAAATACTGACATCGGCTTGTTCCCACTGCGTTCCCGTGTTCATTAAATATTAAAGGATACGCTAAAACCTACGGGCGAAAAAATAGAGGGGACTTCTTAGTTCAAGCACTGCGTGTACTGGTACAATGTACAATGTACATGTACTTTGGTCATTTCACTACCGTCCGCCACTATTATGTAGACAATTTCATATATTTTTCTCTCTCGTCGACGACGGTACGCTTTAATGATGACAGTTTGGATTGTTGTTTGAATGTCATATAAGTGTTGCCGAGTTGTAGTGGTTTTTTTTTTTTTTTTTTTTTTTCATACTTTTATAAATTCCCCGATGATGGTGAGCGCGGGACGAAATGTAGGCCGCAGATCAGTTTCAATTACAAACCGGCCCGGGGAAAATTAATATGCAACTTCGTCGTTCTAACTTGTGTACATACATCATGACACGTGGATATCGGTGACGTTAGTACAGCGCACAAGATGATTGTTATTAGATATTATTGTAACGAAAAAAAAAACCGTGTCCTCCTTTAAACGTATAGGTACTGTATGGAGAATACCACTGTTATTTACATACTAAAACAGTAGATGCCTTACCAGTATGCATTGCAAAAATGTACAATTATAAAACAACAACGAAACAATTTTAATACGAACATTATTTCGAACATTTACATTATTAACTCGAATGATGACTTTTTTGTAACGAATTCGTTCTTGTAATTGAAATTTAATATTCGCCGTGCAATAATATCTCTAAACCGTTGAAAATACGTATAATAAGTTATGAAATGTTTAATCGTTTGTGTTTACATGTTTAAAGGGTGTTATAAGGAGAATGAAGGGGAGAGGGAGTGATGTCACCCCTGTTTATGTTTGGTTTTTAATGAGTTAGGGGCGTAAAATGTACGTGCCATCTTCTGCTATACATCTAATATTTATTTCCCAAGTCAAGTACTGTGGTTTCGTAATGTTTTAGATTCTGAGCGAAGGTAGGAATGTGTTAGTTTTACAATGATGTTTATTATTATTATTTTTTCTGCAAACAACTTTTCTACCACAAATTTTACTCCAATTTTCAAGTGTAGCACCTTTTCTGATAGAAAATTTTACTAGAGTTTTAATTTAGAAAGGTTTTCTTGATTTTTCCAGGGGTTTTCATAATAAATGAGAAAAAACGGAAAAAAATGATTTTTTTAATCGTAAATATTACGGCTTTTCAAAACATGTACGAGTCACCGAACACCGTTTATAATCGGTTTTCGTTAGCAATAATCTTAGCGTATACATGGGGGCCCATTAGGAGGACAAATGTTGAGAATATATCCCTCCAAAAAAATATTCTTTACATCAATGATGATAATCATAGACTTTTTCTTATCACTTTATCACATAACAGCTTGTTTAAAGCTATGATGTTATGTAGCTAAAATGTTTACCTACATAATTACTTACCCTTTCTTTTTCATTTCTTTTCCAGAAATACCAATCTGGTTTCTAGGTATAAACTATAAATAGGTTTTATATTCTAGTTTCATTTTGTCTCTCATCTGAAAATTACCTAATGGGCGCCCTTGTATAGATACATTAAGTTTCCCCTTTGCCTTCCCAACTTTTCACCTACAACAGTGGCCTATCCTTCATGTAAAGTATGTTAGGCCCGTTGGTGTTTTCTTTTCGCAAGATATAATATCCAAAATGTTGCGTGCAAAAAACTGTGTTTCATATGTTTTACATTATATTCAATTGTATTATTATTATTGACGAATCCGATTGTCATATGAAATTAAAAAAAAAATCGTGCGTGCGATTATTACAAAACCCATTATTAGGAAATATAATACATCTCAGAATCAATGATACCTATCCGCAAATGCGTATTCTACTCTTTCGAAAACCATTAAAAATTCTATAATTATATTGCAGGACGAGTTATCAAAATTCAAAATCACTGGGACCGATGTTTTTATTATTGAGTGAATTGAATCGCGTATTCGCTCCCGTGCGACTATTGTATGTAGATACGGTAATCAACACAGTACTTTTTTTCCGACTTTTAACCAACTATTCCGTCCATATACCATCCGGGAACGTGCTCACGGGAGATTATGAGGTTGTCATATCCTCCCCCCCCTCCCGTGAAATCTTTTTGTATGCGTTTGTTTAAAGGTCTTCGTTAGTTTCGGTTCTCTCGGGGGGGAGGCGGGAAGGTAGTACATAATTGGTTTTAATTTTTAGTCATGTTAATATTTTTATCGTACATATAAAATATGTTTTTGCGGATATTGTAGTAATACCCAGTAATTATTTGTAGACAATGCATATTATAAACGCGACCCGATGGTCGCATATTAATGTTATATTATCAATATGAATGTATGCATACAAACGATACAAGCTTATTTGTGAACTGTATACTATCGGACGCTGATAAATTTACTCCAAGTTTAGACTTTATTTCAGATAAGAAAAAAAATCAGTTCTTACTACCTCGTGTAACATAACTTTTGTCTTTTACTGTTTGAGCACTTAAAAGTGTATGGATACCGTTGCCAAAATTCAAGTTTCCTTTGGATGAAAAAAGATTTGAAATATTAGAATAAAAAAATAGGCATGTATACAATATAAAATATTTATACATATTA